ATACTAAACTGAATTTTTTTTTTTTTAAATCAGTTAACTTTTTTTTTTTTTTCAGTGGCCCTAATCCTCTTCCGTACAATGAGCTTAGCTCTACAAAGCACACAAATCAAATGCGCTTGTATTTCCATCTTTTAACCCTCCATAACAGTATAAAGTATTATAATTCCAGCAAATAAAAATAATATTTCCAAACAGGTGAGGTTATTTTTAGAAAAACGCGTGATTGCCCGAAATCTCCTCAGTGCGTTAAAGCTTCCGCTTCCGTGAGCACCTGAACGCAGCACAGCATCCTCCGCTGGTGGAGAGAGGAGGACCAGGATGAGAGGAAACAGAGGAACAGGAAGAAGTGGATGCATATCGAAAGCAAGCATGAAGAATATTCCCGGAATCTGAGCCGATCAACGGGGAGAAAAAAAAAACATCTTTTCTCGGCCATTAGAGGACGACAGGAAGCGGAGGGAGGCAGCGGTGCTGAAAGGATGGAGGAGGGGAAGCAGTTCCTTTGTGGGGTGGTGGAAGGTGAGAGCGGCCGACTTCATCAATCACCTACTATAATAACATTTGATTTTAGTGTGTTTTTTTCTGCACGTTATATTCTGGATGGAAATGATAGTGACGTTGCCTTTAATTAAACCGAGCGTTTGCAGCTGCTGTAAGATGGGCGTGTAAGTGTTTACATATTAATAAAGGAAAAATAAGCTTGGATAAAAAGGTCTTTGGCAAATGATGATGTTGTGGGCATCAGCCAAGCCTAAAGTAGAGATCTGAAGACCAGATGATTTAAAATGTTTAAAATATCCATCTGTTTAACCTTGCTATTGATAAAAACAGATGTGCTGATAAAAAGCAAAACTAATAAAAGCTGGGGCAGATTACTAAAATCATCTCAAACAGTATTAATATCAACAAATCACATGCAAATTCAATTTAATATTTTTCACCGCATAAATTATACCCCTCATAGGTTGAATAAGCTGAATGCCACACTGACAAAAAATAATGCAACAATTTTTGGCATTAACTGAATCATTTTTAGTTACTTTAAAACAAATGTTTTATGTCCCACCCTGCTGACATGAAACAATTGTGTTAAAGTAAATAAACATGATTAAGTAAAGGCCAAAAACTGCATTTTTTTTAGTGCAGTATCACTGACAAATGCCAGAGGTCTGTAGGCAATGGTGTAACTATCTGTAGCAGAGACCCCAGAGCTCTTAGGGGCCCCGTCACTGACTCCTCGTAGGCCCTCAAGCAATTGTAGACTAGGACGTCTCTTTGCAGATGTAGTGGTGCGAAAAATTCCTCTTAAACCCATCTGATACTAGGTTGCCTGACCAGACCTTATCTATACTCCAAAATATGGCAGATTTCAACAGGATGGTGAGTCGTTTAAACACAACACCAGTAGCAAAGCAGACAGTGGAACTTCTAATTACTATGTTAATAATTGTGTATAGTTCATTAGATGGTTGGTAAACAATGCACTCCTATAATATGTTTCAAACCGCAATAAAGATCTTAAAATAGCGATGTATTTGAGTTTTTTTTTTTTCCAATACGACTTGGAATTATGGGTAATCAAGAGCGTAGATTAAAACCATAACCGGTACCTACAATGTGTTAGTGACGATGGATACCAAGAAAAGGGACTTAAGCGGATTCCAGAAAAGAAAAAGGAAAGAAGAGCTGCTGGAAAAAACGGAAAAAAACTTCCCAAAATAAACACGTTCTTTCAAAAAAACGAAGAGGGAGAGGTGGACGTTGCTGCTATAGTGAGTAAAGATTGCGACCAGGAGATAAATGGAGAGAGCATGGGTGAGGGGGGGGCTGTGAAACTCAAGGTACCCTAATAAGACTCATTTTGCAGCAGAATATACTAAAGTATATCCATATCTAGTGAAGGAGTGGAAATTCTCAGAAAACATATTTAATCTGATTCAGTTTATGATTTTAATGTACAGGTGACCAAAAAAAGTTATTAGGTATTGGTTTTTTTTCCAGTGTTACCCAGCAGCTAATTGTTCTAGCACATTTGTTTTTTTGTATTTCCTATAACCTATTTTTCTCAAACCTTACAGTGGTTTCTATATATTTTCACTATCTTGGCTTAGCAGGGAGCATTGCACTTAGTTCTAGAAATGTCACACAGCTGCAAGTCGAAGCTTTAATGAAGAAAATCCCCAAAGGCATGCAGAGGAAAGGGGTCTGGACTGTATTTAATATAGTCTGACCCACTTACTGTACTTGCACACATGCACACACACTCCAGACGTATTCAATAACATACCGTACACAACTGGGTGGGACACTGGGGATGCTCTCATTTCTAAGAATAGAAAATGTGATGGAGTGCACTGCATGAAAAGTGAGATTTTCGTCCCCGTAAACCCCCGTAAACTCCCGCAGATCTGCCTGATTTTCGTCAGTTTCCGACAATTTGCAACCCGTGCTTGTCCGCGTTTGTCGTGCCACAAATTGTCGAAAACGTACCGTGACGTATGTGGAGAGCGATCAGCTGTACTAATGGCCCTAATTAGCATATGAATGCAGCAAACCCGCGCGGCTGGCCAGGTCTGGCTTGAATAACCTACTCAGTATTGGCTGAAACCACTATTCTCAAACAAATGAAATCGCTCGTGATTGGCAGCAAAACCACACGTGGCCACGCCAGGCTTTAATTTTCTTACTGAGTATTGGACGGAACCACTTCTTTTTAAACAAGTAAAGTCGCTCGTGATTGGTTGGCATATATATATATTTACATATATATATATTTATTCATATATATATATATATTTATTCATTCATATATTTATTCATTCATATGGTGTGTATTTATGTTATCCTACACTACTACACAATTATTAGGCTACCATCAAGGACATGAATGAATTTATACAGGAAATGAACATTTGCAGGAAGCTGTTTATGCAAAGAAAGAGCTTTATTGAAACACACACAACTATATACAACGCGTATCCAAACACATGCGTTTCTAAAAATTAAAAGTCCGTGAAGGGTCCGTTTGCTTCCTCGGGGTTGGAGGTAACTGGCAGCATTCCCTCCGAGGCAGGTCCGATGTGCACTGTGCAGACGCCTACTGTGCGTGGCCCTGTTCTTCGGCATCGCTTCTAACCGGGACTGCAGCTTAACACAGAGTTCAGTGAGATCCGGCCTACGAAATGGCGGCGACCGTACAATCCATCCAGAGACACCGCCGAGGAAGGCGGACTTCCAGAGTTCCACTTCCTCATCTGTTAGCACACTCTGCCTCGCTTTCAGCAGCTGAAAAAAAAAACAATGAATCAGGGCACTGCGTATGGACACAACACATCTATCAATGCACCTGAAAAATAGTCACCAAATAAAGTCTTACCCTCTTTCTTCTGGCCCGACTCCGAGCAGATAGCCTCCGCACGCAGCGTGTTGGCTGGCAGCGTATATCTGAAGCTCCTGCGTACCGTCTCATAATACGTCTTACAGGCAGCTGGAAAACAATTAAATGAGAGTGGTATAAATAAAAAGTCAAACGCAAGTCACAGTAACAAGGAAGGAGAAAACATTAAAACAAGTCACTTACACACAATGTCGTCTTTATCAACATCGTGCAAATCTGGACTTGCTGATTATGGCTCCGAGCAAATAGGAGGTCACCGCCTCATTGTGAGGCGAGAGTAGTCTGTGAAAACAAAATGTAAAAGCTATGATCGGTATCTATCCGTATCCATTGCCTTTTACCGCAGAATGAAAGCATATTCTTTAAATCTTACCCTTGCTCCGGTTCATAGCGCCTGCAATTAGTCTCCGAGTTGTTAAGACGGCATACTGCTTCCTGTAATCACAAAAAATACACTTTAATAAAGCTTGTTCTTGCAAGGCTAGGCTAGATAGGCTAATAGCTAGGCTGCTATTAGCCGGTAGCTTAGGCTAGGCTGCTTTTAGCTTAGCAGGCAGTAATCGAACATATATTTACCGCTAGCATCTCTTCTTTGAGTTCTTCTTGTTCGATTCAGAGTCGCCATCGCGTCCAAGAGGAGTTTTACCCCGAAATCCAGACGCTCCAGACCGCCTGCACAAAGCAAAGCAGCATCCTCCATTGTGGATCCAGACCCCGCCGCTCTAAGTTTCTTGGAGATCGTACAGAGCATGCGCGAGATGAACCAGAGTTTCCGCGGATCAATAAAAATAATTAAAAAATCATTCTTTTTTTTTTTTTTTTTAATCAAGGCCTTAATTGGCACTAAAATTATTTAAATATGTTTATCGAAGCATTTATAATTCTTTAATAAAAAATGCTTATAAAAACAATTTCGTCAGATATATTATATCGCTCCAGGCGGAGAAAAAGCTAGAGGATATATATATACGTATATATGTGTGTGTGTGTGTGTGTGTGTGTGTTTACATACATACAGGAGTCATGGAACTCTGCTTACAGCTCCTTCATATTTCATGTACACTAATAACTTGTGTACATGATTCTTGTTGATGGTATTAAAATCATTTCTAATAGCATTTAAATAGCATTAAATTAGAGTCACTCATTCCTGTATGAACCCTGTGAGCGCTTAATTTAATATGACATATTAAAAAAAATCCCACCATCATCCAGCATATGTTCAGTTTCTGCCCAAATATATATATATATATTTTTGTAGATTTTTGTAACGGGGATAAGGATAATTCAAAACTGCTTTTTTTTTAATGAACTTGTTCACTACTTCCAAACTCAGCATCTCTTTTCATTCCTGTAATAAGAAGTTTCTTTTGAATGGATTTCATTAAAGTTTAAGTCCCTCGGTATAAAATAAATATTTTGATGGAGATGAGAAATCTGCTTCCTCGTTGGTGAATAACCAATAGTTTGGATCCAATCATTTAAATAAACGGTGTTAGTTTTTTTTTTTTTTATATATATATATATATATAAGAATTGTGCTATAATTTCTAGTCACCGATCTGTTGCTGCTATATTTTAATTTGACGAACCGGAATTTGTCGATGTTCTTTTTCCTGTTTGGTGCAATTGCAATTGCGGATCTTGACCTGGCCGGACCTTATGACCACAGTGTACCAATCTTCTGATGGCTACTTCCAACAGGATAATGCGCCATGTTATAAAGTGAATCATCTCAGACTCATTTCTTGAAACTTTTCCACTTAAGTAATTGTGAATTGAGCATATTGACAGACAACATTTTATTTTTTTATCTTAAATGCAAATTTTTTTAAAAATAATTACTGCTCTAAATGTATTGCTCTGTCGGCTAAAGATCTGTTTTGGTCTCTATACTTTAATTAAATAAATCAATTCAAGCTAAAATGTGAGAGGCTATACTAAGCCTGATCTCTTTCTATCAGAGATTTTCTTCCTCAGAAAGATGTCACTTGGGGTAAAACCCCCCCTGCAACCCTGGTTTGCATTTGTATAGCTCACAGCATGTTCATTTACATGTTAAAGCCTCCCCTAGAATTCCATGGGGGGGAGGCATGGGGGGAACACTGCCTAAGAAATTCCACGTCAATTTCTGACAATTTACGGGAGTTTTCGACGAAGCCTGCAAATTGCCGTAAACTGCCGCTAACCTGAAGTTCCACGACAATCTACAGTGCCGTATATTGACGAAAATCCCACTTTTCATGCAGTGGTGTGAATGCAGCTAAATTATGCCTAAACCAAATACAGAAGGTATATTGCGACAAGGCGCTGGAGGTTCTCAAATATTTCTGCCTTGCTATATGTTTTGCATGGTAGTTGCATCAGCCAGTTATCAGTGAGCTGAACCTCAAGTGCTCATTCTCTATTTGGAAGGTTTTTATTTGAGATTGCAGAGGTCTCACCTCTGAACTTTGACTTAGATTTTTCTTCTAGTTACTTAACAAAACAAACTTATTTGTGTTTTAATGTTTTAAATTCTCAATTTTACTGCAGTTAAATCAGCCATAAAACTTGCCATAAAATGATTTTGAAGATGCAGTGGCCTGAATTTAGCAACAAATAAAGGAATTCTAAGAAATCCCTACTTATCCATCATAGACTTGATTCTAAACTTTAATACCTTTCATAACTCAAAACATTACGGTGCATTCAAAGGATGTCTTTTGGATATAAATCAAGTTAGAATGTATCAAGGGACACAGATTTTGGTATCCTTCTTTAAGCCTCCCACAAAGGTTTGCTGGAATTGCGGCCCATTCTTCCTTAGTAATCCAGTGAGTCATGTTTTTAGGGCTTTTGAATAGGACACACATTAGCTCTACCCATTTATTTCCTACTGAGATCAGAACTTTGTAGACTGCCTTATTGTTCCTAGGTTCATTTTTAAGTAACTATAGGTCTATAGCTATAGCTTTGCAGAGTGGTGGCCTAGAGGTTGGGACTTGGATCCCAGAGGTTCTGAGTTAAAGCCCCACTTCCATGGACTGCCACTCCGGGTCCTGGAGCAAGACCCTTGACCCCCACACCGCAGGGGGTGGGTGCACAATAGCAGCCCACTGCTCCCTAAGGGGATGGGTTAAATGCAAAGAGGTAATTTTGTTGCTTGGTACTTGTGACAGTGTAATGAAGATAAAAGTTGAATTCTCTTCTAGTCCTTTAGAGTAGAAGCGTCTTCTCTGACTGGAATCTGAGCCCATATCAGTAAGATTACAGGGGGGAATGTTAACATGAAACGCTCATAAAAGAACTGTATTTGTCTAATTTTTGTGACTAAGCAGTAGATCATATATCTGCTGTAATCCAGCTCAGATTAAACAGATGTGACAGAGTCGGGTTATGGGTTTGACTTGACATACTGTCTAAGTTTTCAGCCCTAAAATCGGCTAACATAATTAATGTCTAATGTCTGGGTTACTAATGGAAAGGTAAAGTCAAGAGTATTTTAGTGTGAATGTATTCATTTTATATTTTCTTTCCCACCAGGTTTTTATGGTCGACCCTGGTCTATGAATCAGAGAAAAGTTCTCTTTCAGTGGTGAGTAGATGTGTCACTCATTCTTTATGCTAAATGAAGCCTGTTGAGTATTTGTTCTCTTCATTTGAAAAAGCCCCTCTCCCCTGAATCAAACCTTAGAAGAACCACATTTTACTGCAACTGCAGCTCTAAGTCTAACTCGAAGTTTTAGGGTTTTTTATTTTTAAGAAATTATAGAAGTTAAAAAATTGCTTTGACAAGCATTTTGTTTTCAATTAATGAATAGAACAAAGTTCTGCAAGATGTTGGAATTTTGAAATATGGCTTAATACCATAGCCCTGCTCAAAATGTCTCCATTACTGCCAAATCTTTTTCTTTGTGTAAATTTGGATTAAATGGAAGGCAGTGAAATGTTACTTTCCTGAAGAAATTATTTCAAAGAAGGGACAGTAGCTTTATTTCAGCGAATAACGGAAGGACAAAAAATAAAAAGAGATAAACTATTGGTCAGGGTATTCAGATACTGAATGCTGTGTACTTTTGAATGAAAATGGCACCTTTATCCTTGAATTAAATTTGTCACAGCTGAAAAAAAAACTATGGCGCTCTCTATTGAGTGCCAAACATTTTCTCATCAGCAGTTTCCCCAGCTCATAGAGAGAAAAAAGCTGTTTGTGACTCAGCACCCTTGGCAATTCACTGACTAATTGTTACTTAAAAAAAAGAAAAATAGAATTAGTTATCAATTTTTTTAAAGGGAAATAATAAAAGTAAGTGAGCAATAAGGTGAGCAGTGCCTCAAACATGCTGAAAATGTATGCATTATGAAGAGTGAAGGATTTCCATCTTCTCTCATTTATCATCATATTCTGCAGCTCGAAGAGAACCAACTCATTCTTAACGCCAAGCTGATCTTACCTGAAAGATTAACTCTTAAATCCACATTTGGAGCTGGGAGAAAGTACCTGTAACACATTTGTTTGGGTTACATGGGTTCTTTTTGTAATTTCAATTGCAGCATATACCAAACAGTTAGGATTACTGTAGGTCATTAAAATGTTACATATTGGTATTAACATGTGTTTAGAAGACACTCTGAGAACCTCCAAAACTCCACCAGCAGCTGAGAGTGTGGGCTCAAAATCTAATAATAGAGACGTTTCATTTGGGACTCAAATGCGGAGTGCCAACATAGCTACTTGAGTGGTTAATAGGTTTGGCAGAGTGATACTGTGAGTGGCACAGTATCTGTGTTTGCGTAATCGTATGTATTGTAGGTACGTAGGTTGGCACTTTGTGGAGGTGGCTATCATGCCATCTGCCCAGGGACCGAAGGGTGAAATGACTAAGATCGCTTCTGTGCCAGAGATGACTAGGAACATACAGAACAGAGACAAAAACAGAGAAGCTGGTTAAATGAAAGGGTCACTAAAGTAGATTTAGTTTAATCTCTACTACTACTATACATTCTATTCTCTTTATAATTCAGAAACTTGCTTTCTGTCAGTGACTCCACCTTGATATAGACAATTGTTCTGTTTTTGTCAGGATTTTTGCTGTTCTATTAGTCATTTTTCTCCTCTCTCTGCCAAACATCTTTTTGTACAGAATTATCTCTTTAAAGCACTGAAAATGGATGTAAAAACTGTTTTTTGAAAAAGTCAATAAAGGGTATTTATTAAGATGTTTCATTATCACTGAATGCACCAGTACTATTGGTTAAAATATTAGTGTAGCTGCTCAAGACTTAATGTTTGGCTATTTGTTTTTTTTTTTTTTTTTGCTATACAGTCTTGCTCAGTGAAATAGAATCCTAAAAATTAGAGAACTTAATAGTCTTAACTCACTAAATAAAGGACATTAGGCCCTAGAAATAGCAATTACACACAAACTAATGTTTTCAAACCTTTAGTTTTTGTCAGGATTTGGTTGAGATTTGTGGACCCAAATGTAGAGGCAGCGAGGCAGAGGTGAGTTTCTAGATGATTTAATGATGAATAAACAAACAACTGAACAGGGAGGCAGGAAATCCAAAAATAAAAAAAAATCAAAACATGAAAAAGTCAAACAAACCAGAAACCATGGAGACATCAGGGAGAAGACTATCACAAGGAGGTAAGACTCAGAGAGATGGAGTTGGAGGAAGTTTGACGACGCACCAGCAGTGAGAGAACTCAGAGAGCCAGGGGAAAAGTTAACAGGTTTATTGAGAGGTCGACAAAAACAGAGAGAGAGATAATATGCAGGGTTTTCTCAGTGGGACTTCAGCGGTCTGGTGAACCGGAACCGGAAACTCTGAAGGGGAGATCACAAAGATCAGTTCAAGGTCCATAGGGAAAATGACTGAGACTGGTGAATAGCTGGAGAAGACTCACTTTAGGGGGATTCTTGGTTTCCCTTGGGTCCAGTTTGTGGGGGGATTTAATCCTGAGATGAATGAACACGTTGGAGGGCGGACAGGCAGACTTGCGTTAGGTCCAAAGGAGCAATGGAACGGACTGTGACCGGTTTTCCTGAAGTGGACTTGAACAGATCTGGTGAAGGTTTCCCCTTGCTTAGTGTGACTCAAATTATTCCTTCCAAGGGGGGTAGAAGGACCAGGCTTATCCAGTGGATCAGGAGGGCTTAGCTTAGACTCAGAGAGACAAGGCAAAGGTTAGACTCAGCTAATCTCAGTAAGGCTAGAGTACCCAATACTGGCAAACACTCTGGCGTCGAGGTGGTGACAGTCCGCAGCTCAAGTAATGACTCTGGTAATGACCCAACGAGCCGCAGGTGTGCAGGGAGGCCTAGCAAGGACAGGCCACTGCCTGATGGTAGGAAGAGGAAAAACACAGAAAAACAACACACACAAACTGGAATCCTAACAAGGTTATTGAGTTAAAAACATGGTTAATATGTATTTATTTTTACCCTAAATAAATTCCTTTCTTTTACTGTGAAGAATCAGGTCAAGATTAAGAATCCATGTAATAGGGTGTCCTAATTGTTTTACATGATTGTAAAATAAAGTCAACAGAAGCAACAGCACAGTTTAGAAGATATTCAGGGAACACATTTCTGACCTCTCTATTGACATTACATTTAAATGACAGATGTTTATCAGCCTCTTAGATCAATTTAGTGAAGCTTATTTTGTTATTTTACAGCATTGAGACAAAAATTGTCATTTGTACATTCCTGTCAGGATGCAGCTGTGGGGGTTGAACACCTACCTGTACGGTCCCAAAGATGACCTGAAACACAGACTTCTGTGGAGGGAAGTCTATTCTCCGGAAGAAGAAGGTTTGTGTTTTCATTCTATACTTCCATCATGCTACTCACGCAACAAACCATAACTTTAGTAAGAACGCACATCTAGATTTAATAACTAAGCTTATTTGCTTGTCAAATATGAAAGAGTCTAAAACAACAGCAAGGTTTTAAGCAGATTGATGTTAGCTACTCAGCGATTTCCAAACATCACAGTTTCTGTTATTTATCTTCAGTTCTGTAGGACAATTAAACATAATTTCCACATACATTTGTAGATCATCTGTCAAACATGAAACAAAATATTACGTATTCTAAAAGCTTACCCAAGGGCCAGGATTTACAAAGAAAACAGTAAATGTCTAAAATAAAACCTTGCAATACTCCGCTGTTATTGTCCTCCACAGTCATTAAATATTAAACTGGCCATTTGATTTTTGAGAAAATGCATTTTGGGCCTTTTTAGCCTATCAAAATCCTTGGAAGTTGTAAATGGTCTAGGCAGTGTGCAGCTGCATTGTAGTCTTGGGCAGACCCACAGAAGTCAGCCTGCTTAAACCGGCATCACCAAGCAAAAAATAAGTTGGAAATAAAATTTCAACTTATAAAGATGACATGATTTACCTCCAAACAACCTCTACATTCGGTTAAAAATTTGAAAGGTGAAAAACTGTTGAAAACTGTTTTTTTTCAACGTCTCTGATTGGACTTAAGTGGGACAAAGTCTGAACAAAGCCCAATTTTCACCAACTAAATCAAGACTATGATGGACGGACCAGATTTAGCCTTAAAACCAACAGATAAATGACGTCTGGTGTTTGGGTGGTCTGACCACCAACAGCAGGCAAGATGGGGAGTCCTACCCTAAACTTAAATGGACAGAGCAGGAGAAGGAACTGGCAGCCTAGTTGGTTTGTTACCTCTTCGTAACAGTCAACCCAAGGATTCTCAGTCTTCATTAGAGCTCTACATGTACAACATAAAGAAAGAAAAGGATAATAATGTAAATATATCACACTAACTAAAATTAAATATGTATTAGAATTTTTATGTTCTAGGTTTGTCTATCACTATAGCATTTGAGGCAGTGATTAACAAGGAGAACATAAAGCAAGAAGCAATGATGGATGATTTTAAATGCCTTTGCATAATTTAAAATAATAATAGTAATAATGAAAATAATTTATGTGTGTGTGTATGAGGAGGTGGGGTGCGCAGGGGGTGGTGTTTGGGAGTAGGTAGGGGGGGTTTAGGAAGTGGGCGGGACTTCAACTTGTGGACGAGGTTTCAAATTTGCTGAAAGGGTCCTCTTATTCTTTTAACATAGGTCCTTCTCTACCATTTTATTTACCAGACTTGGTGTATATCTCTTTAACTTTCATATTTATGAATCGTTCCTTTCCTTTACCCGGTCTTCTTCACAGCTCAGTTGCACACTCTTATCGTGGAAGCCCAGTCCAGGGGTCTGAGGTTTGTTTATGCGCTCTCTCCTGGTCAGGACATTGTCTTCTCCTCTTCCTTCGACATGACGCTGCTAAAGCGCAAGCTGAAACAGGCTTGTTATCCTTCTTAAAATTTTTAGAAACACACCTAACTGTTCAGTCAGCCAGAGCCTAACTTGTTTTCGTTTCTTCCTCTGCCAGGTATCAGATCTAGGGTGCCAGGCATATGCCATTCTCTTTGACGACATTGATCATTCCATGTGCCAGGCTGACAGCGAGGCCTTCAGTTCCTTTGCCCATGCTCAGATCACAGTAACTAATGAGATTTATCGCTTCCTGGGGGAGCCACCTGTCTTCCTTTTCTGCCCTACAGGTAAAGTTCAGGTCGAGTCTACATAAAACACCACCAATGAGTTTTCACAGCAGGAACCATTATTTTCTATTTCTTTCTCACTGTTAGAGTACTGTGGTTCTCTGTGCTCCCCAAGTGTGGCTGAATCTCCCTACCTGCAAACAGTTGGAGAAGACCTTCTACCTAACATAACAGTGATATGGACAGGTAAAAAAAAAAAAGATGTGTAATCTTGCTGTCTCAGATGATTTTTCGTTGTTGTGGTATTAAACTAGATTAGGTTAATTGCTATGTGATTTCTCTTATCAATATTCAACAGCTGCTGACTTGATTTATTTACCTAGGCTGCAGGAATCTTGCAGATAAAGTTGTTATGCATTTAGGAATGTTGTTAGGAGTGGCAGTTGTATTGCTGCCAAAGGCATGAGGAAGTTATGTCATGCAGGTTATGCTTTCCATCTGGGTAACTCATTAACAGGTCTTTATTTATGTTGTTCCCTGGAACATGTGATTATTAAGATGCCAAAGCAGTTTTTTTATTTTATTTTAAGATCTTCAAAGTTAGCTGAGATTCTGACTTTAGATTATAAACCCAGGTGTGAATTTCATAGAAGATATTGGTTTTCTGTAGGCTTCAGGACATTTGTGTGTCTGCTTTAAAAAGTGCCTGCTTTAAACAAGTGTCTGCTTTAAACATGGAGAAAGTTTAAAGTTGCTGCTGAACCAAACATGGAGAAGCAGCATTTAGTTCCTATACTCCACTTATCCAGAAAAAACTTCCAGATGACTGTAAAAGTCCTCAAAGCTTGTGTCTTTTTAAGTAATAGTAAAAAAAAAAAAATTGTTTAGAATTTTCTTTGGCTGTTGAACTTAAACTATATACTGAAGTATTATTATTAGTTTAAAGGCACACTATGCAAGATTTTTCAGTTAATTAATGTGTTCCATAACGTTTTGGATGATTAAATGAGTCATTTCAGGTTGAACAAAGGTATTCTCGGCCGCCCTGGTGGTCTGTGGGGGAAATACCGCACTTGCAATTGCAGGAGCCCTCGGCCCGCACCCACAGGCTCAGAAGTCTCGCGAGAGTCGGTCTTGCTTTACGGCGAGAACTGCTACATGCCCCCAGTTAAAAGCATGCTCGTTGCTAGCACAGTGGTGATCTTTGTGCAGTTATGCTACGTTCACACCGGACGCAGCAAGAGCAGCAAAGTCGCGTCTGCTGCTTCATTTTTGCTGCTTGTACCAGTTAGTTCTGACGCGCGGCTGAAGCAGCTTTGCTGCTCTGGCTGCGCGGTGCAAAAATGTGTCTGACGCGCGTTGGGCGGAGCTTCACTATCCTTTCTCTGCCTTGCAGCTATATTTGCTGTGATCAGTGGGAATAAAGTAGTTTTAATATGTTTTTAAGTGAGAAAATACACCTTAAAACGTAATCAGTGCCGTCAGTTCATTCAGATTATCATCCTGCCTTCCAATATTTTTTCTGTCGGAGCCACTTAGACCCCCACATACCAGCGGTGCGCCGACAGTAGGAATCCCTTCATCAGCAGCCTCTGGCAGATGCTTAAACGCACCCGACGCACTGCTTCAGCTGCTCAGACGCGCTGCGCCTGCTGCTCAAAACACGCCGCAGGACCTTTTGCTGCACCTTGACACGCGTCAACCATTGACTTTGCATGTAAACTCGCTGCTTCTGTCGCGCCAGCTGCGTCCAGTGTGAACGCAGCATTAGTCATTCGTAGCGTTCGCCTGTCTGCTAAGCTCAAAACAACCGCGCCTGGCTTGACGGAGAAACCAGGAGAACAGCTGTGCATATTTACGACAGTGTACTTTTACTTTCGCCCTCTGGGGGGAGCCTCGCTGGAAAATCAACACCGGTTGCATAGTGTACATTTAATGTTTTTGTCCAGCTTTTTTTTGTTTGTTTTACTAGCTGATTTTATCCTGATTTGCTTTTTTTCTACATTTATTGTTCACTTTGAATTAATTCCCTTTGAATTAAACACTTGTCCTTGTACTGAAACAATTGTCCTTGTATTAAATTGTGCTATACTAATAAACTTGCCATTCCTTTGCCTATGTGGGCATCTGCCCTCTTGCACGAGGAAACAACTTTCTCCCAAAACAGATTTATTTAAAAACTTTATACCTACGCTATAGACTCTAAAATATCTAATATATAAAGCAACCTAGTTTGGGTTATTTTCCAACCCAATGCACGTTTAGTTAGGGCCCTGTCCTACCTTGCCGATTTAGCCAGCATATGCCTGACGTCTCAGAATCTCCTAAAACACTGGCATAGCCTGAACTTTTTATGTATTTTCTCAATTTTGGCCACATGCATCGTGTATTCATAATGACTCCAGAACTTATGTTCAACGACAGCCTTACTTATGCATAACACACGGCAGCCGAATGCCCATGATGCACAAGCTTTATTTCATGGACATTACGTAGCATCAATTAAATCGCTGCTCGTTAGGAGATTTCTTTGATCCCAGTATTAACCTAGCTGCTGTTTACCCCCTGCCAAAAAAAGAATAAATAAAAAGAAAGAAAGAAAGAAAGAAAGAAAGAAAGAAAGAAAGAAAGAAAGAAAGAAAGAAAGAAAGAAAGAAAGAAAGAAAGAAAGAAAGAAAGAAAGAAAGAAAGAAAGAAAGAAAGAAAGAAAGAAAGAAAGAAAGAAAGAAAGAAAGAAGGTTTACAGTCGCAGCAGATTCAGCATCATGTCTGCTAAGAAGTTTGTTGGTCATGGCCGTGGGCGTGAACACAGCAAGGAACCATCACACTCACCTTCTGGCTCACCCTTTAATGGGGATCAAGTCTGGAGGAGTACTGACGGTTTCCTCCTGTGAACTCCTTTTCATACCAAAACGCCATTAAACAGTAGGTGTAAGTTAGAAACACGTTCAGTGGTCGTCTAAAACATGTCAAAAACGTTGATATGCGTTGGAGATAAGTTCTTGACAAGTTACACATAAGTTATTCACAAGTTACTCATAGGTTTTGGATAAGCTAGACGCCATGACTTATGAGTAACATACACGTAGCGTATGTCAATGATCAAATAACTTACCTGTAACTTACGCTCCATGTATGGCATACGTCAGAAAATTTTGAGCATTCATACCTTCCATATGCTGACTTGTGCCAGCATTTTTCAGTGTGCTCTAGCGTGCTTATGTGTGGGAACATCTTATACAAAACTTATCGATAACTTATCCAATATATGCCAGCATTTTTGCCAGATTTTTTGTACGTAAGTCAAGGTGTGCCAGGGCCTTCATGGACTAATACAACCAAAGGCTAATTTACTACTACATGGTGTTTATGACTTTGAACCACCATAGTGGGTTATAGCTAAATTCAAATGTCCAACTGTTTGGTAGATCAGAGGAACCATCCTATTTGGGGCAAAGATCAAGCAAAAATCATCGCCGCAAGCTCATCCAGGAGGAGCATTTTTTTCAAGTCAATGACTGGATCATTCAACTGGTTTTGCCTAAACTTTAAACCAATCTGAATTAATTTTTATCTGTAAAGTGCATTGAGATGACATGTGATGTGAATTGGGTCCATATAAATAAAATGAATTGTACTGAATTTAATTGAAGAACATCAGAGAACTGGTCTTCTCAGATATCAATCTTAACCTGCTAATAATATCTTTTAGACGTGCAAATAATAGTTTAAAGACCTCAGAAATTAGTCTATCATCAAAATGACAGAGTTTCCATTTATCTTTCTCACAGGTAGCAAAGTCATTTCCAGGAAATTGTCCTTAGACTGCCTTGCTGAGTTGGAGTCAGTCCTACAGCGCCCCCCACTGATATGGGACAACCTGCACGCTAATGACTATGATACTCGACGTCTCTTTCTGGGGCCTTTCAAGGGCCGTGACCCTCACATTAGAAGCCACCTGAGGGGTCTGCTGCTCAATCCCAACTGTGAATTTGAAGCCAATTACATCCCACTGCATACTCTGGGTAGCTGGTACAGAGCTGAAAAGGATGATGTACAAGGTAACAAAATGCCCTTCTGTTTAATCAGTCTGTTCAAGCAATTCAATCAGGCATTTTAACCAACAGACTAAACTTATTTTTATTCCTGATTTTCAGACAAACTAGTTCTGGTTCTGGAATTTCCTACTTATTCTTTATAAAATACAATTAACAGTATTCAGAACATATTTTCTGTAGTTGCAACGTTTAAAGTAGCTTTTTATAGTCTTAATGTGTTCCACTATCATAAATTATTCATAATTATTTATTCAATAGAGATTAAATCACACTGTGTATGATATTTTAAGTAGTCCTTCGTATTTAATTTTTGCAATTTACACAGTTGTCAGGGTAATCATTAGTAAGTGTAAACTAGAGAGTGACCACTACATGCTTTTATTGAGTATTTTTATATCATATTGTGTTTTCTTCCTCAAGTTATATCAACAAAATTACTTGATAAGAAAATGTTACACACACATCTCAATTTAAACAAAAGAAATATTTATAGTCAAATCAAACAAAGCAATGTCAATAAATAGCTGTTGTGTCAGGTTGTGTGGAGGTTTTAGAGGACTGAAATGATGAGACGGAAGCTGAGGTGATTACTTCTAGATTTAATAAGCAAAGGTGGCAACTGAAGCTAAAGTCCAAAAGCAAAATACAGAAAACCAAAATCCAGGAGATATCAGGGAAAACACACATGAGGATTAGGAGACAAATAGGGAATAGGAGAAGAATAAATAAAAAAACAAAAAAAAACAGAAGCAGCTGAAAAGCATTGAGGGGGTTAAGGTTCTCCTCTATGTAGTGATGGAAAGGTGGTGGAAGAAGTAACATTCCTTTTGTGTTTGGGAGACTCAGATAGTTTTTGTGAAAGGAAATATCACTGAAACGAGTGGAGACAACAAACAACATACATTTTAATGGCTTCAGAACAGCAATTAGAAACAGAAAAAAACTACTAGTTATTTCAAATATGCCAATTTGATATAAGTACCTTTTAGATCCAAGCAATGTGGAAGCTGGTGAAGAAGAACTGCATGATTAGTTGCGTCAAATATTCTCCAAATTTTTAAAGTGATGATCCTCTAGCCTTAATTTCAAGCAATTTAACTAAAGTTATATATTTCAGGAGAGGAATATAACTACTGTCCTGAGAGAGCATTAACAGCTGCACTTCATGACTGGATGGAAGAACTTAACCAGCCCCTGCAAGCAGGTAAGATTGTATAAACAAAAGAACTAGGTGGGTCTTTAGATCACTGTTAGTTTATATATTGCATCCCATGATTTCAGGGGGTATCCAGTAGCGCCACTTAAAGTCACCACAGATCTATGTTTGAATGAATATTTCAGGTCGGCAGGATTCAAAAGCAGACCATCGTGCCTCTGTGTCATCATCGCGTTCCAAAACACCTGACAGGTCTGACTGTCCTTCCACCTTCAGAGCCACCCACGCGGTGCCCAAACTTCCAGTCTTCCCACTTGATTCCAGCTCTCCACCCTCATCCCCACCTTTGAGTAAAGCAGATAAAGAGGGACGAGAAGGAGAGAAAAAACGGTCACAGCAACAAGGTCAACCTCTTGCAGCATCAAAGTCGGCAGCACCTCTTGGTGGGGGCCGGGCACAGCGGGAACAGCGGGCACAGGGTCGTGGACTCTGCAATGGAAAGGGGTTACTAAGTGAGGCCCAGGTGCGGCTGCTCGTTGGTCTTCATTATCTCCCCCATGAGCATGGTCCCTCAGCCCAGAAACTCCTGCAAGACCTAACCTGGCTAAAATCAAACTGCCACCTAGTTGGTGCAAACAGCAAGAAGCCACAACCTCAGAAGGTGATTCAGGACATTTCCTTTCTCAGTAGTTATAAACAAAAGAACATCACAGATGAGCATCACTGTGTTTTCTCTGGTGTCCTCAGGTTGACGAGTGGCGTGGGAGAGCCTCCAGATTCTTATCTCTATGTGAAGACATAGCTCAGCTACACTGCAGCGTAGTGGGAGGAGCCAACAGGGCTGTGCTGTATGACCTGTACCCTTATGTGTGGGACCTGAGGAACACCGCTCTGGTGGCCAAAGCCTTCATATGCTGGCTGGGTGAGGACAGTGATAGTGGGAGGGAAAAAAGTTATTCAATAACATTGAAATATTCATATTTGATATTTTATCTCACTAGTTGTTGACTTTTTTCATATACTGCGCTACAGATATAATTCTGACTTTTATTTTCTGTGATCATTACGCTCTTCTCTAACTTCAGTATGTAATACTGAAAGTAATGCATGATGTGCTGCAACAGATAAATAAAACAAAAAGAAAGAAACACTGATAAAGTTAGATATGTCTTTAATATGATGTATGCATTTAAACATTTATACGAGAGTTTATTCCAGTTGTTTCAAAAGTAGCTCCATTTTACAATTCCTTAGCATTAAGAACAGAGTACATTACAAAGCTGTTTGATATTAACAAGCTAGAACACCTGTTGTTCAGCTGCAAGCCCTCTTAGAGTTGTCATACTTGAATGACACATTCTTGTTGTTTTCCACAGACGGGCGAGTGCTGAGTGACAGCTCAAGCCTCGGCTCCTGGAGGAACTGCTTTCACTGTGAGTAGTCTATCATTTTTCTAACCCTTTCTCATTGTGCAGCTCGTGCAGTTAGCCACTCTTCATTCGAACTTTAATTATTATAATAATAATTAGCGCAGAAGGGACAGCGCTGTATTTCTGCTGTGAGGAACAAATAAAGAAGGGTAGAAATATGAAGAGGAATACGAAAAGATTAAAAAAAAGCCTCATGGAAAAGTCAAACATGGTGGCGACATTTTTACGCTTAAACTGCATATTTATGCAAGTTACACATTAATAGCACAGCCATACAACCCAATCACTGTGCTGCACATTAATTGCATTCCCCTCAGTAGTAAAGAGGACTTAGAAGCTGATAACAAATAAAGCACAAAAAAATATTTAATCTGGTTTGTTGGACTTTTTAACTAATGGTTTGAAAGAGGGGTCAAGGAAGCCATTTTGTGAAAATAGAAAAGGCATTTCTCAATAGAAAGGGAGGATAGTGGTTTCAGCTTTGAAGCATTTACATTTAGTCATGGAACTCATTGCCAAGAAGTTACATAAGCACTCCCATTATGATTGAAAAGACAAATCACAAAGCCGAGACACAACAAAACGCTCCAATAATACAGAAGAACAAAGGTTGGCTATTTCATTAGGATCTGATTTGAAATGTGTGCAAGGGGCTAGTCCTCCATCCTATTAACTCCAACTAGACTTTGTGTGAGCCAACATCATTGACTTAGACTCCTGGATAGGTGTCAAAACTTAAAAGAAATTAGCAAAAGCCCAGTTGCCTGTTTTGGTTGCCATGACCCTGATGACTTAGAATTTACACAGGCAGTTTACTTGGGTTTTACAGTCACTGCACAGCAGAGGGGTCAAAAGTATTAATGTTTGTTACTCAAGTAGAAGTATACATCCTACTGTTTAAAAACAGTTTTGTAGAACTCAACTAAAGCTTTTTACTAAAGTAAAAATGTGAAAGTATGATTTTTTTAACTATTAAAATGATAAAAGTAAGAGTAATGCAGGACAAAAAGGTTAAGGACACAAATTTTACTCAACTAGCCTATTAAAGAAACATTTTTCAATGATTTTTGGATGATAACTTCCTTATACTTAATCTTCTTAGCTAATGGCAACAGTGTCAAATTTAAGTTTGCTTCATCTTGAAAATATTTTGGTATGTGTCGAACAAGTTGGAGCAGTATCGAGTTCAACCACAAAGAAATTTACAGTCCACATGAAACAAATTATTTTAATGATTTTTATTTTTCTTTCAGTACCAACAGGCCATAATGAAATGGAGCTTAAATGAAACAAAACTGAATCTATTTTTAAAATGTAAGGAGTAGAAATTGAAACAATTACGATTAATAAGTATTTGAACACCCTGCTATTTTGCAAGTTTTCTGGAATCTGAAATTGTCATTGTAGGTTCATGTCAACTGTGAGAGACAAAATAAAAAAATAAAAAATCCAGAGAGCACAATATTTGATTTTTTAAACTATATATTTGTATGATACAGCTGTGAATAAGTATTTCAACTCCTACTGTACTTATTAGCTAGAATTCTGACCCTCTAAGACCTGTTATTGACTTGAAAATGTCCACCTCCACTTAATTTATCATCCTGAATTAGATGCACCTGTTTGAGGTAGTGAGTTGCATAGAGACACCTGTCCACCCCATACCATATATGAGAATCCAACTACTAACATGGCCAAGACCAAAGAGTTGTCAAAAGACTCTAGAGATAAAATTGTACACATCCAAAAGGCTGGATGGGATTTTGGGTAAATTGGCAAGCAGCTTGGTGAAAAAAGGTCTACTGTTGGTACAATTATTAAAAAAAATGGAAGAAGCTAAACAGGATTGTCAATCTCCCTCGGTCTGGGGCTCCTTGCAAGATCTTATCTCGTGGGGTCGCCGCGATCCTACGAAAGGTGAGAAATGAGTCCAGAACTACACGGGAAGAGCTGGTCAATGACCTGAAAAGTACTGGGACCACCGTTTCCAGGCTTATTGTTTGTAATACACCAAGATATCATAGTTGCGATTCATGCATGGCATGGAAGGTTCCTTTGCTTATACAAGCACATGTAAAGGCCCGTCTTAAGATTGTCAGTGACCTCTTGGATGATCCAGAGATGTAATGGGAGAAAGTCATGTAGTCAGATGAGACAAAAAAATTACTTTTTGGTCATAATTCCACTAACCTGGTTTGAGTACCATCATAAGAACACCATAAGGGTTCTGTTTCCACTAACCTTTGATGATAAATAGACCCTTTCTTCTTGGATGTGACAGGGTGTGGGAAGACCACAGGAGCAGACCAGCTGGGAGTGGACTCAGAGCCTTGGGTGTTCAAAGGGGGAGTGTCAGGGGAGGTGCAGGTAGCTTAAATGTTTTCATCCTTTTATGTCTACCTCTACTGCATAGTCTTTCCCACTTTATCTTTGTCAAATTCAGTCATGAAACTCATCCAGTTGTTGGATTTGTGTTTGTACTTGTTTAATCAGATGCTCCTACCGGTAGGCAGCAGCAGTGAACTTTTCACTCATCCCCCTCCTCTCTTTCCTACCTCTCGTCTTTACAACATCAGGCCCTATCACAGCAAAGACAAGGTAAGAGATAATTAACAATTTTTACAACTAAGCATACATTAAACTCAAGTCATCCACTTAATATACTTTGGTTAAATATGTAAAAAAGCTGAGTTTTTTATTGCAGAATTTAGATCTCTGAATTGGTAAAGCTTTGACCTGCTGGTTGTTGGAAATACTGGTTTGTCTTAAACTAGTAATGTTATGGGATGAACCAAGTCTTCGAGGCGTATGTTGAGTAGTGGAGGGGGCGTTTCCGCAAAGCGTGTATTGAGGCTTGCTTCATTTAGGGGAGGGACCAAAATTGATGACATCCGAAGCCTCACTGTGCCATACCATGTGACCACTTTGGGATGTGGTTCAGCTCGCCCACGAACTTCCACAGGCATTTAAACAGCCTTAGTATTTAGTCATAATGTGGGAGTTTGTAGGAGTGTTACGGTGAGTTGGATAGAGTTTGGATATATTCTAATAATAGATTGGTTGTTTTTATAGCTAATCTAGGTGGTTAAAAGAATTTTGGGTAGATTAAACAATAAAATGATCAGAGGCCACTGTTTCAGTTGTAATAATAAGTATTTAATAGTATTGCTTACTGAAGTAGAGGTGTTCTTTCAAATGGCGTCTGCTGTAACACTTAGCTCACCAATCCATTGGTTTTTCAAGACCAGGTTTAAACGATGGAAAGTTGCTATACTGCTTAACCAGTGTTTTGGCCAATTTGACCAGTTTGTATTGGGTTGCCCTTTTACCAATATAGATTGTTAAAAAACACTACCAAATTAGATTGGTTGGTTTCCCTTTTTTCCACTGAGCACGGAGCCGCCGGCTTGCTTGGACTCAAAATGAATAACGGGTTACCCAAGGCTACATAGGATACACTGGACCAGTCCTTCAAAACGTCTGTATCCACTTCCTAAATAATATAGTGACACATAGTTAATTTTTTCATCCACCAGTTTTATGAAAGGAAGTGTTTGAAAGGTCAACAGAACACAATCTGTTGACTGCTATGTTTAATCTAATTAGTACCTTGAATAAAACAGGTTGTGTTTTTAATCTGAGACCTGTGAAGCAGTTGTTTCCGTTTTGTTTTTATCATGTAAATAGAGGAAGAGAAAGCAAAATCTGCCTAAAGAACCTGCCTCAAAATTGGTGGTGCATTCTAGGGAAAGGTTTGACGGATTCAAAATAATCTGTTTCAGCATAGGCCTTAAAAAAAGCTTTATTTCTAAAATCTAATATCAAACCGGTCAGAAATGGTAGTGATTACATTTTGATTGACATGCTTGTAGGTGGAGCTGTATCGCATGGTCCGCCAGCTTCACCTGAGGACTCAAGGTGGACAAGAGTCCTCTATGGCTCACCCTGATGTAATCGGGGACAGGTTTGTCACCTTATTTATGTTAAACAGTGACAAAGATTAAGAATCAAGACTTTTATTAGTGTGATTTGCTTACACTGACCAGCTTCTTCTTTTTTAGGTTACACAAATATGATGTGTTGCAAATTTAGAAATGGCATTCTGCATACTGTGCCTCGATTGATGATTGTAGTGGTAATTTAAGTTCTCTTAAATGACCTATACAGTTGTTCTTATCTAATATCTGACAATAAGTCCACATTTTCATTTAAAGGTTTGGCTCTTGTTGGATATTTCCTTTATTTCAGACCATTATATGTAATCCTGAGAGGTGGTTCTGTTTAACAAACTTACTCACTACGCAGTGTCTGAAATTTTAAGACCAGGCTGTCTGCCACCAATACGCACGGCTTATTTTAAAATCTCTTAATTCTCTTTGTTTTTTCTTGAAACCTGAGTCAGCTAAAAACCTGGATCTCTGAATGTATAGAAATGCTGCCATGTGATTGGGTGATTTACTAATTCTGTTACCACTTGACTGAACCATTTCACCTTATAAGGAGAACAATAACCTTGCTTTAATAATATATTTTCTTTTTCTTACCACCTATAGGTGTCTTGGTCCATGTCTGGCACTGAGCCCTGAGTACAGCTTCATCTTGGAAGATGAGCTAGGCATTTGTGGCTGTGTGCTTGGCATCTTAGATGTCCGCTCCTTTGCTAAGCGATGCCAGGGCAGCTGGATTCCTGCCATGAGAGATAAATACCCACCTAAAGGGAACGGCACACACTCAAACACATTGGTAAATATGTTGAAATTAGGTGGAGGAGCTACTGTACTTGTGTCTGTTTCATTCTAACAAACGTAGCACGCTATGTGTTTGGATCCTACCAAGGAATCAAGCGGTCATGAACACAATTGTTTTGTGTTGGCTACCTGCTGTTAACATGTAGTTGAAGCATAAATTGTGCAGACGGTGCGGTAGTAAGCAATTTTAGCAGAGCAAAAATATGATTTGCGATTTTCGTTGGGCTCAGTGAGTCAAGGTGTATGTCAGACATTTTGCTTTGGCATGTAATCATTTCAATGTTTGACTTGTATCAGAAGGCAGAAATTATTTTTTTTCCTTCCAGATAATTATTTTAATGTTGAATGGCAGAAAATAAGAAAGGCATTTCTAACCTGTTGTGTTGCATTCCAAACTTCTGATGCACCTTACACAAAGGTGGGAAAACCCTCCGGCATAGGATCAATTTTAAGAGGGTTTTTTGAAAATCTTGATTTACATATGCCTGAACTAGCAGACAAGCTGCAGGATAATTTATACTTAACTTATACTGATGAATAGATATCAGTTACTATTAAATCATTTTTTTGTTTGCTCTTTCTAGATCAAATAATTAACTTTTTCATGGGCTTCAGTGTAATAAAGATAATTTTTACATTTTCTTTCACATATTATGCAAAATGTTGACTGATTAGTCAACATTTTGCATAATAAAATAAACAATAAAAATGTAAACCTGTATATCTTATGTATATAATTCAAGAATTGTACCGCTCTAGGGGATAGAAGACTGGAGTAGCTCTACTAGTTTTTTCTGATATTCTTGTTCAGATTTTCTTTTCTTCCTGACGTTTTTCTCCTCTGTGTGTTGTATGCTGTGTTGCTGAAAGGATTTTTGCTGACATCTTTTTATTATGTTATGATGCATTACATAACATAACAGCTGTTTAAAATCATAAAAGCTGAATTAATACTTTTAAGTACTTCTGCAAGTCCCCACATGAGTTGAAATGGAGGTGCTGACTATGCACAGCAGATGGAATTAGAACAAATAGATGGAGGAAATTCAAGGCATCGATTCCATTGCCCATTATGGGTATTGATCTTTACCAAACTAGTTTGAAGAACTCCAAGGCTTAGCAACGATCCAGGCAGATTTTCAGTATTGCAGTTTTGTGTTTTATAGAAACATGGCTGTGGGATCATATGCTAGGCAAGACATATTAAAAAGGCTGTAAAAGCAATGGAATGGGTTAGCAGTGCTTGTGAACAACAGATGGTGTGATCCAGGACATTTGGTCTCTGGATCCCAGATGTTTAAGCCTTTTTTAGTTCTCGTCCATATTATTTCCCACCAAGCAAAAATTGTCTGAAAAGATATTGAAAAGATGACATGATTTACTTCCAACGTCTGGTGATTGCGTGCATGAGTGTTAATTTGGCAAGTACGATATGGACCCTGATGCTCACGTCAAGCATAAAAAAGAAAAAGAGTATGCATATGTTTGAATAGGATGAATGACATCTGAACAATAAAACTTAGAACAATAGTGTCCCTACTAAAGTTGAAATCAAACCTACGCTCATGCTAGACAGTCTTGTCATCTACAGAAATAGATGGCTCTGCAGGGGTGCATCGGAAATAGACATAGGGTGCATTGGAAAGAAGCCACGTACAGGGAGGTGGACCAGTCTGTGCCATAATGTGGAAATAATTATCTTATAATGTATGGGGATAAAAAAGCCCATTCTAGATTTCAGAAGAATTAGGTTTCAGAAGAATATGCTATTATAATTATTGGAAAAGAAGTGCAGGTGGTGGATTATCAATATATCAGTGTTCAGCCGGACTTCACTTGGCTGGAGACGCATCTATGAAGGCATCCATAAAGAGTGACAGAGCAAAGTGCACTTCTTAAAGAAGCTTAGTTTCTGTTTGCAGTAAAATGCCTTTTATTTTCTGTAGTTTTATGTAGAGAGTGATCTTAGAGTATCTAACATCATCTGCTGAGGGAGCAACATCTGAGCTGTCTTAGAGATCTTTACAAACTAATCAAGCAAATAAAAAAACAAGGAATTACAAAATCAGTTAATTTCTCTATAAATAAAGTGATAACGTATAGTAACATTTTTAACTGAAATGAATGTTTGCTTTTCTCTGAGCAGGAACTGGTCCAACTGATGGAGGAGGACCAGGGTGAGTACCCAGATTCGCTCCTCTATCACTTCCCCTCCCAACTACGTCTGGATGCACTTCCTGAGCTGGTGGACATCAGTGTTAGCCGAACGCTGCTCACCGCCCTGCTCACTGCTCTCAAAGCCAACGGTGAGCTCACAGTGGGATGCAATCTGTTTCTCATGTTTTTTAAATGGGAATATGTTATTCTCTTTAGATATCTACAAAATGTCTTATCTTGCTGGTTTTTTTAATGCCTTTAATGTTTAGTACCCTATTAAAGTTTGCATACAAGTTGAACTTTTCTGAATTTTTTCTTTTGTGGTTTGTAGTGTCATTTTTTTATTCTTTTGATTATTTAAAGAGCTTTTTATGGTGAGCATAGGAAAAAAAAAAAAGTTCAATTAAAATATTTTGAAAAGACTTGCCCTCCCCAGTAAAAAAAAAATCCACACGTACGACCCTGTACGCGCTCCTGAGAAGGAACTCCTAGTCGCTGTTTGCATCGGTCATACAAGCTTACTTACCAAAAGAAGGTTTGCAATTTTTCTATGTCAGACTCACTATTGGTAAGTGAAAATGGGGAAGAACACAGAGGACGACCTTACATAAACATATTACCAGGATGATTGACAATTAGGAGGGCCACTTATTTTGATGATCCACCCGGAACACCCTACACTATACCTTTAAATTCCCTGTATATATAGCTAATTTAGATTGACAGCCAAGTAGTTTTGTGCTTACTGTCTCACCTAACTGTAAAGCTGCTTTATCATACTTTTTTCGGCCTTTCAAAGTCAAACATAGGAATATACTGTATATATGATTAAATAATTTCTTAAGCAAGAAAAAAAACATAGTTGTTTTCTCCCAACGGAAGAAAACAACTATGTTGGGTCTAAGGAGCTCAACCCAAATGCAGAACACCACGGAAACAGAGTAAAAGTTAACAAATGTTTATTGAAAGATTTCACACAATAAAGTTATTTGCACTGATAACACCTGTTTTGAAAATGAGGACACCTCTCCCCATGTGGGAGTTGTTCATTTCATGCCAAATCATTGCTGCGCTGAGAGCTAAACAAAGAGAATTTTTAATCGTTAAAAAAATATTCGGGATCACAACTTAGACATTTGCTACATTATGAACAGTTGCTGTACCTGTTTAGATTAGCTGCTAAAAGAAACATATTTGGTGATATGAGGCAGCACCTTGCCACTAATGCAAAACATAATTTTTTCATTTTCATTTGTAAAAAGAGAATAAACATCAAATCATCATCATCAGTCATTTTTCCCCCTCAATGTTCTTCTTTTCTATGCACTGTTAATAACATTCTGCATATCACTTTGTTTGAGAAACAGACAATTCTTCTTTCTTTCTTTTATTCTGCAGTCATTGAAAACACAAGGAAAGGACTGATGGATGTTTCCTGTTTGTGCTCGTATGCAGGTTCTCAGGGTGTCTTCTGTGAGGTGCAGCCCACGGATCATCAGAGGCTGGAATTTCTAACCAAACTGGGTTTCCTGGAGATCCTCAGAGGAGAAGCCAGGAGCAGAGAGGGGGTGGTTCTCGGAAGGCTGCTCTGAGACCCACAACATACAGAAAGTCACACAAGCCATCCCTTAATAAGAAATTAAAACTCCTTTGAGATACATGAACATTGATGAGCTTCTCACATAAAGTGCATGGTTAGGTATACCACCAAAATTATTTTCTTGAGGGAGTCTTAATGCTTGTTTTAACAAAATGTTGACTTGCTGCCATTAATGTCACCTTGTTCAGTCGATCTAAAGAGTCACTTCCCTAGACATAACCATTTTAAAAGTTAGAAAAAAGAACTGTTTGTTTCTCTCAAGGCTATTACACTTGTTTTCAACTGGATATTGCTTTAACAACTGGGAATTGTTTCTTGTTTGAAGCCCCATTCTGAAATTTGCAAATTGTCAACCTTTTAAGTCAACTGGTTTAAAATCTGCCAATATATTTATGATTTACCACCCCTAAAAAAATCAAAATAGGAGAAATCCTGGACTTTAACTAAAATCGTTTAGAATCTCTAAACTCATTGAGATAATGCCAAATAGAAAGTCCTTCTTCAGCTTTATGAGATATTTTAGATAACTCAAATAATTTTGATTTATTTACATAAGTGATAGAAAATATGACCTATCTGCCAAGCAATTGGAAATCTCAAAATGTTCAATAAAGCATTAAAGAGATTGATATAGATGCCATCCGGTTGCCCTCAGATAAATGGAAAGCACTGCATGTTCTAAACTGACTATGGCTTATACATCACTTAAAAACAACAAGAGTTGTTGCACAAAAAATTTAAAAAGTAGAGACTTGCAGGAAATAAAACTGCTTATTACCCAATGTAAAGGGTATTTAAGAAATCCTAAAGCTTGAATAGGAAGCTTGATCAGGTGATCAAAAATGTTCTGATGTCTTTACATTTTAATACAGGCATGAACCCTAGGATAATTAAGCCATTTATAAAATATGAAATATTCTTTAGGTTTCAAACATTCTTTAAGGAGCTGCTATAATATTTTTAAAAACTGTTCCCCTTCATTTAAAAACCCAATTCATGTAAAGCAAAACATGTGTTTTCTCAGTTTGTCACACCACTGAAATATGTTTTATCAATCACCTATCCAAATTTGAATGATTAAAAACACAACTGAGCATCTAAAATTAGGTCTTAAAAGTAACGGAGAAAAAAATCAGTTTCCTTATCTTTTAGATGCTGGTGCAGATCTGTTTGGGCCGCTGAAATCACATCCAATTCTATTTCATTGCAACCCTTTTAAAGGAAGAAAAATACATCGCCCTTTAAGACATGCAGAAAATCCTGAAACGCAGGAATATTGAAACTAGGGTTTAAACAATTAATCTGATTAATCAATTATTGAAATTATTGTTAACTAATTTAGCAATTGATTAATCATTAAATGAAGTATGAAGACTCTAAAATATGCCTTTTAGCTGACAGAACAACCTAGTTAGAGAAGTAATCTCAAAATTGTAAATAAATAAACATTTTAAGATAAAAAAAATATGTTTTCATCTGTCAATATGCTTTATACAAAACTCAAGTGGAAAAGTTTTAGTTTCACTTGTTTAATTTAAAAAAAAAATCTTTAAAGAAGCTTTGGCTATCCAATTATTAATAGATCAAATAAGATTAATCGATTTGCAAAATATTCATTAGTTTCAGCCCTAATTGAAACCCCAATTTACCTTTAGTACCACCGTGTAATTTTTTTGCACTGTGGCCCTGTGGCAATTTTTTTTTACATATGTAAAGCACTACATGTATGACCATTATGTGTTTAGAAAAAAAAACTGGGGAATTCTTCTGAAACGGCCTTTAAAGTTTTTGTCATGCTTTGTTGTAAACAAGTGTTTAAAATAAGGTCACAATATAAAATCTAAGGAATTTTATTACATTTTATAAATGTAACAATAATTTATAATTTACAAGCAGCATCTAACAACATTGGGTGCATCTCAACAAAAGGGTGAGATGCAGACCTGTTGCAGCAATCTTTTTTTTTTTTTTTTCCTACTCTGGGTGAACTTAACTGCTTTCTTGGTTTTCATTTCAAAAGAAAACGAGCACAAGACAAAAAAGAAAAAATTTATTGAGGAAAACCTGCTTAGCATCAAACTAAGGAAACACAAGGTTAATAACCAGTTAGTAAGCACTAACTTTTGCATGACATTAAAAACAAGAATTTTAATGTCATGCAGGTAACAATTCTATCTTAAATTTCTAATTTAACTGGGCTTTCTAGTTGTTTTAATGTACTGTTTTTTTGTGAACTTGAATAGTCAAGCATTTATGTTCGCGTGGAACATCCTACTGTTCAAGCTCTTGTTTACAGTTACTGATGCTTTTGACAAAAACCCTTTGGATTGTGCTCCAGACTGTTAACTTCCTACTAGTTCAGTGGAATCTATGGCAAATCGTTTAAACTATAAAAGTAATTAATAAACAGTTGTGCTTGAAAGTTTAAATAGCTTCCCATTAAAGAAAAAATATGAATTCACACCGGTAATTCAAATAACACAAAGCTGAATATATAATAATACATAAAAAAAAAAAAATATTTAGTAAAATTAAATATTGATCTAGATTTTTTGTCAAAAAAGAAGATTCATTTTCCTGGCACTGATTTTTTTCTGTCTTTAATGGGAATGTAAACTTTCAAGCACAACTGCACATGAAAAGCAGGTTATATCATTTTTATACAAACATATGTGCACGCTCAGCTAGTTGTAGAAGCATCTGCACAGATCATGAGACACAATTCACCAAGGCTAGATAAAAAAAAAACCAACAAACATATCGTGATTTGATGTGAACGAGATACTCGTTAATTTCATTCATTCTCATTATTGCTATTCATATTTTGTTAGATTAGTACCATGTATGACAACCTCAAAACCTTTCAAAGGACATTAATGTTTACTATTTTTCTAGATCAGATGAATGTTTACATGCATGAGAAACATAACTTTGTGTTGCTTTTCTACCAAGCAGGTTATTCACACTAAAACTAATGCAATGAAAACTGCAACGGTAGCCGCTTACCTGTATTAACATACATGAAGATTTCCTTTTAGGGCATTTATCCATCATTACAATTGTAAGAACACAGGGGGATTTAAGAAAAAAAAAATACATATTTGCATGTCTGAACTCATTAGAATAGATAATAAAAAAAGTGAAAATGCAATATATTTGTGATCACTCTATAAGGTTTACACTCGATTCAGCATTTTTCTTTTTTTACGATTCATCTTCCTTATTTTATGCCACTTACAATAATGCCTTTTACTTAAACAGTGCCAATGAGTAAAAGGTGTGACTTTAAGGCAGATGCTCCAGTGTTATTAAATCATTGAGCTGTGACGGCTGTGTAATTCTGCCTTCATTCTGAGCCCCAGCGAGGCGTAAACGGAGCGTTCACACACACATACACATACTCAAATCACCCAAAAGAAGCACAAACACAGTCACAGTCCTTAAAGCATATTGAATGTTACTTTGTTTTCTTTGTTTTTGAATGGAAACATTCTGTACACAGCTATTTGTGCAAACATTTGTTTTTTAAAGGTTCTGTTCTGTGGACTAAAAGGTACTTTTGTACTTCCGTTCTTAAAAAAAATCTTGCGAGGTGCTTTAAAATAATAAAAAGATGGTTGTGATTGAATAACATAGATAAAGCGCCATAAATAAAATGCATGATGTAAATTAAAAATAAAAGATGGTTGTGTCTGTTCAAATATTTCTGTGTTCTGGGGGGTATTTTCCTTATTTAAAAAAATTACTGAAAACCTTGCATAAAATTAGTAAAGTCCAATAAATAATAGCAACAGAAATTAAGTTTACTGTATGCAGTGAACAAGACTGCATAAACAGAAGCATTGCAAACAAATGATTACATTTCAATACTATTTTTTACAATTATAAAAATTATGTCCGTATTCAGTATATGGATATTCAAAATAAAGATAATCACTTTTCTGTAAAAAAGAGAATTAAACAATGTATATTTAACAGTTCCAAGCTGACACTGATTGCCTACATAGAGCTACTTGGAAAAACATTACTCCTGAATTCAGTTTGGCTTTTCGACTGACATTACTAGTTGAGATCTTTAGATATGAACTTAGATTATAAACAATCTTGTTTTAATGTGATTAAAATATATATTTTTTTTTATTCGAGATACCTTTTCCATTTGCTTAAGGATAAGCACTGAGGAAAAACACAACACAGAAAAATGTGCACAATTTGTCGTTTTCTCCTGAATATCACCATATATTGCTGAAGATAAAGTAATATATACTGTAATTTGGAAATGTGTTGAGTTATACCTTATTATTTTTAATTTGGGGGCCTCCATGTTTTTTTCTTTGAACTTAGCTTTCTTCTACCTGCATCCAGCACATTACTAATGAATTTCAGAGAAATGTTTTTTTGTTGTTTGTTTTGTTCAAGGAAGCGCACTCTAATCTGTCTATGAATAAAAAAAAAAATGGAGTGTCTGGATGCACTTCCTGAGCTGGTGGACATCAGTGTTAGCCGAACGCTGCTCACCGCCCTGCTCACTGCTCTCAAAGCCAATGTGAGCTCACAGTTGGATGCAATTTGTTTCCCATGTTCTTTAAATTGGAATATGTTATTTTCTTTATATATCTACAAAATGTCAAATCATGCTGGATTTTTTTAATGCGTTTAAGAATCAAAAATTGCACCCCAAGTCATCTGTCTAATTCTTCCAAATGTTCTTGTCAACGGGGGAATCAATAAGTTTGAATGAATACCCTTTCTACATATGTAATACTTCATTAGAAAATGTTGTACTCACAATCTTGATTGCAGTATGTGGCAAATATGCACATATTGCTACATTTTCTTAAAGTAGTTGAAGCTCAAATGCTTTTTGCGAGGAAATTTCACTCGCCCTATCCTCCTGAGAAGGTTTAAAGTTTTTTCCTTGCCTCAGCCATGACCAGCAGGTGGAAAAATAATAGAGCTTTAGCTCCATGACTATATAAGAGCCTGTGGCTGTAAAGTGATACTTTGTCCCAGGTCACATTACCTGGCCGACGACAGTGCGTCTTCTCCAAACTTACACAGTTGGTATTTCAGCCAACTGTGTAAGTATGGAGGGAGGACCCACTCGTAGCATTGATAGTGTCAAGAGCAGTATATTGGCTTAAGGAATCATTTAAAATGACTAACATGCATGTAATACTAATAAGTCTGCGTGTGCCTTTCATTTTCTGGCTCCTGTGAGCAGCTCCAGCATCAAGTGGCCCAAAATATTCAATGAATTTGGATAGTAACCATTTAAACTGCTGTAGGATATTCAGACAATGATTGGCACAAAAAACCCTTAAACCCACACATACTTCATAGGGATCTTTTAATAAAATGTAGTTTTTTTTCTTCTGATTCTGAATATATACATATATAAAAATGAAATTAAAAAAAGTCATTAGAACATCAGATTTAATTAGCTTTGTTAGCCACAGCCTTACAATAAAGCAATAAAGAATACCAAAAAATAACACATTTTGACAAACAGAAAAGAGCTTGATACTATAGATTTATAATATAGCTCTGACACTTTGTTTTGCTTCCTTTTTTGTCAAAGCTAATTGGTTTCTTTGATACAATTTGCTGTAATGGTACGCCACAATAAGACCAAAGTCAAAAAAGAGATGGGTTTGACTGAGTATAAACAAAGTACATTGGGTTCAAATTCTTGCATAGTGCTTTAATGCCAGCATTTGGACAGTTTAAGTAGGTGCTTTGGCTGTTTTTGCCATCTTCCTTGTAGAACAGCTGATTAAAAAACAACTCACAAATACATTTATATTTGGATTAAAACTATTTCATTTTTATCCATAATATGAAGAGTTTTAATGTGTCCTTAAACTACACATCTGTGCTCTCCCTGTCTTCAGTGTTTCCTGCTTCCCATTGGCTCCTAGTGCGCAGGTTGCGTTCAGGGGCCTTTACTTGTCCAATGGGGATGCGGTATTCTTTTAGGCTGCCAGTCAACAGCAACATAAGTGTTGCAGTAAGAGTAGCCGCCCAACTGCATGCTGGGAGACCAACCTGAGTGGGAAGAAGGAATATTTCAAAATCACTTAGTGGGATTTGGTGTATTAGTGCAATCCTTTATATATATATATATATATATATATATATATATATATATAAACTGTTTATTAAGATGGTAATTATTGTTGTTCGATTATTTTCCTTTAAAGCAGATTTGCCTCACGTATTTTATTGGCAACAAAAACATTTTAGGCAGTAAAGCAAATTCAAATGTATTAAGTTCAACAATGCTGATGTTGGTTAAAAACATCACCTCTTCTTTCTGCCTTGGTATGTAGAATTTATGAGGAGAATTTTAAAATGCAAAATAAAAAAAAAAGAAATAAAAAATCAATGTTTTTTTTTTTTTTAAAGAGGAGAATAAAAATACTGAAATGAGAAGAATTTAAAAAGCACATTACCAAAGAGGGTGTACACTTACAGTTCCTAGCAGGTTGCTCAGGGCGATGTCAGAGTATGCAGAGAGAAAAGCTGCAAATAAAAAAAAAAGGGTCAATTCATCCAGATTATTTTCTACTCATTCCCACTAGGTTCTCAGTGCACAGCATTTGCTGGTTGCTCTTTGTTCTTGTTACCAGTCAGAGCAGCAATTAAGGCCAATTTTCATAATGGTAGCAAATTAGTTTCATGTCAAGCTGCTCATTACTAATGTCTGCAAACTCTGTGTCTTCTGGAGTGTTCTTTCCTCTCGGATATGAGCACGGTGAAATTGGTTAAATGGTTAAATTGGTTAAATGAACATTCAGTCTAGACGGATTATTTGAATTAAACTTAGTATTAATCAAATAGTCAGATTACATGACTAAAATAAAAGGGGTACAAAAAGAGGAAGACATTTTGATGGAAAATAGAAATATTCAAATATGATACTGTCATGATGTGTTGGTTTTACTAGCCCATATGCAGACTCACAGACACGGAGAGAGGAATAAAAGTCCAACATTTATTGGAACACGGAGGAATCTTACAGGATCAAGGCTCAGACAGGCATGATGGCACAGGTAAAACAAACGATCCAGCACAGAGAGAAAATCACATATAGCTTATATAGGGAGCTTCCTTAATCAGCAGAACAACAAACAGCTGATCAAGCTGAGTCCAAACTCCCTAGGCTTGGATCCACTGCGCCCTCTGGTGGGCAAAGTCCCGGATCCTGACAGTACCCCCCTCTCAAGGGCGGATTCCAGACGCCCCAAAGAAAACAAAAACAACTCGCCCATGGAGGGCGAAGGGCGAACCAGGGATGCCAGAAAAAGTCTCAGGTGGCCGGCCATGAAACCGGCAGCAGAGCAGAGTCTTAAAAGCTGCAGGGCCTTGGAAGAGGACGTCAACTCCGCTTCAGCAGGAAGCACCGGGAGAAACTCTGTCTCCGCTTCCGTATGAAGCCCCGGGAAGGACGCCGTCACGCTCCCGCAGCTTTGCAACAGGTCCGCCCAATACGGCTCCGCCTCAGGAACAGAGGAATCCACCGAATGTGGCTCCACCTCAAGGAACCGAGGGATCCACCGATTATGGATCCACCTCAAGGAACTGAGGGATCCACCGTTTGTGGCTCCACCTCCGAAGGCTCTGGAAGGCGCAGAACAGGCTCAGGGGTCTCCTAGACGGCACAGAGCGAGCTCAGGGTTTTCCAGACGGCACAGAGCGGGCTCTGGGGTCTCCTAGACGGCACAGAGCGGGCTCACCAGGAGCGCGTAGAAGGAGTCTGCGGGGCTAGTCTGTTGGCTGGATCGTTCTGTCATGATGCGTTGGTTTTACTAGCCCATATGCAGACTCACAGACACAGAGGGAGGAATAGAAGTCCAACATTTATTGGAACACGGAGGAATCTTACAGGATCAAGGCTCAGACAGGCATGATGGCACAGGTAAAACAAACGATCCAGCACAGAGAGAAAATCACATATAGCTTATATAGGGAGCTTCCTTAATCAGCAGAACAACAAACAGCTGATCAAGCTGAGTCCAAACTCCCTAGGCTTGGATCCACTGCGCCCTCTGGTGGGCAAAGTCCCGGATCCTGACAATACTTGGTAAATGAAACCAAAAATGAAACACTTTTCCTGGAATGTAGTAATTTCGTTGTCTAATTTTGCTGTTATTCTAAAAATATTTTATTCTAATTAAATTGCTCATATTTTAGGTCATTTTAATTTGGTTTTCTTTTAATGCAGTTTTTGTTATTTGCTATGAATGTATTTAATGTTATTATTTCTTGGACTTTTTGTGATTTTATTCTCACCACAGTTCTTAGATTAATGTTTTTTTTTTTCTTTTTTATGTGAAATTTTTATTTATTTTTACTATTTTTGCATTTCCGAATTTTTGGCTTTTCGTCATACATTTTTATTTACATGTTATTTTGGGTCCTTGGTAATAAATATTTTTTTTACTTATTCATTTATCAGGTTTAGAATTTTCTAATGCATATTAACTTTGTTTTTTCTGCAAATTGTTGTGATATTTTGTTGATGATAAAGTTGCACAATCAGTTTTCACTGACCTATATTAAACACAACGTATGCAGAATAAGGAGCCCATATATGTTGTATAAGCAGTTATTGATCCTACAGTATTCATGATTTCTATGCTTGCTAAGAGAATAACAAATGTAAAATACAACATGTGAAAATATTATTATAATGTAATTAAGAGGATTATATAATAGATATCAACTATTTTCAGAATAGAGTTTACATAATATTTGGTATGGAACTGCTACAAAATAGCAAGCTTTAATAACCCTTCCTATGGCTCTATGGTGCATATTTTGAATCAGAAAATAGATTATCTTTCTTACCTTTTAAAATTGTATATTTTTTTAATGACTAAGATGACAAGTGCACTAATGGTTCCTAAGAACATTTAAGAACATTTAGGTGTGACTGGATGCCTGCAAAGCATTATTGATACCCATGTTGTCATAATAATATGCCTTACTGCTGTTTTGCATGTTGGCAGTCTTGTTAAATGTGTTTTACCGCTTGCAATGGCAAAGAGAAAAGTCCTCCAGCTGAAGGTGAAGAAGAGTCCTCCAACAGCCATGCAGCCCAAAGCACCATTGAAACCCGATAGGCCAGAGTACAATGATTCATGACGCACTGCCATGGATAAACCTATAACACATCAACAGACAGAGACACTTTACGATTACATAAACCAATGAGTCAGAGCTGACAGCCAAATGGACCCTCAACAACAAAATCTATTGTGGAGTATTTCTCAAATCAGCTGTGCCATACTTGTCCATGTGGTGGCACTAGACACATACTTTTGTGCTACTACCCTCCATCCAACCCTTTTTTTGCATCTAACCTTATAAGGAAATTTTTTTTTGTGCGTCAACGTACCCAAAATGAGGACAAATGGTATAAGTGATACATTTTTTCAACACATCATTTAACTAATTAGTCCTGCTTATGTGTGAGGAGGAAATTTGTTAGAAGGAAACGATGAATCACTCAGAAAAACTAATTGGCCATCTGTATTCAGTTTCAAAGGACGGTCAGGAAAGGATTGCCTTTATCTATTTTAGTTCAAACCACACTACAAAAAATCTCAACTGCCACATTACTAAATTGTGCTTGCATTACCTGTATCTCTGGTAGGCATCAGCAAGCTGCTGAAGATAAGACTGAACCTTACATCTCAATCATGGCTGCAGCAGAAAAACGGCACATTGAAACCATAAACAGATTACACAGGGGTCATTCTGACCCATGCAGATCTCAGCTCAGCCAGATGCACTGACATTTTCACTCATAGCATCCAGCATTAGTAGGTGCTGTCTGGCTCTCCCAGCCATGCATAGAAGAGGATAGTAGAATCACACAGTCGCATGAACAGAGAGGGCAGCTGATTCTGAATTTAGCAACACCAAACATAGAGCCTTCAGACACCTTAAAGGTTCTAAGTCTTAAGACCGTTGTGTTAAAGACCTGGACTAACAAAGTACACCTAATGAGGTCATTAATTAGGGTATATGGGAGTACAAAATTTGACAGCTTAATCAACACTATTATGAGTCTTACACCCTCCCGTTTTACACCTTTGGACTATAAAGGTTGCATAATCACGGTTGGTTCATTAATCATGTTATTGAACAAATAGCACTTTAAACCAATGCAGGCTGCAAAGTAATAAAGCAAATACGGCAGGCGCATCCTGAGGGGTTACCCGTGTCAGAACCAACTTTCACAGCCATTCATCAGTGTTGTTAGCAACAAACAAGAATTTCATCACGGCCCTCTGGAAATGTCAACCAGACGCTCTGGTCATTAAAATTTATCAAGTGAGAACGATGAATGTGAGAAATGTCAGAAACAGCCTATCCAATTATTGCTGATGCATCTTATCTGAACACAGGAACAGCTTATGTGTGAAATAAACAGGTTCCCCTTGTCTTGATTTACAAAGAAAAGTGCAGATGAGAGCTGGGTGAAATAGTCACTTAGTGTAGCTGTTTTTTTTTTCAGTTAATCAGAAACCATCCAAGCCGCTATTTTCGGAGTGTTTCATTCATAGACATGAGTATCACTGTGCCCACAGCAGGAAATGTTTTTTTAACCTTCTGTGTAAGCATTAGATGCCAGACTGTTTAGACAAGAGGAAGGACCATCTTTTGCTCCAGCTATTGTTTCCTATACTGGTGGTTTTCTCTTTTTTTTTAATAAGATATAAGCATTTATGTTTTCAGTTGAAAATCTCAGCTGATGCAAAACCCTTTAAAAAAGCTACAGCTACCCTGAAATACCCAAACATCAATGCTGAGCACAGATAAATGCAAAAAGCGTTCTGGAACACCACATCGTTCTCGTATCGTAAATCTGCAGGATTTTTTTTTAGAGAAACACAAAGCTTAGTAGAGCCTATGTTAAAGAAGACATCATTAAGCTTCCACTTTGATCATTTTACTAAATAATATGGAAATATGAGCTGTAGTTTAGCAGTCACGTCCTGAATCAGACTGACCACACCCCTGTACTTCCTCTTTGTGATGGGCATATGGTGGACAACTATGCCAAGATAAGGTTTGTTCATATATTAATATTCAAAGCTATTTTCTTTTATTTTTATTTTTTTCCAGCATTCAATTGTTGCTCTTTTTTATATTCATTACCAAGAAAGCATTTAGTCATAAAGGAAAGAAGCTGCAGATAATTATGTAATCTACACAGCTTGGACTAACTCAGAGCATGTTATATTTTCCAGCAGATTTCTAAGATTTATTCTATCATAAAATACGTCTCCTCCTCACTCCATTTAGCTTCACTGCCTTCATGGGCACATAGCTCCACACAGAATAGAGAAAAATGCAACAGTGCTAGTAAAAACAAAATGAAATGTCCTCTTTATCCAGTGCTATTTATTGACGTTAACCTGCTGACATTTATTTATTCAGCTGAATTAGTCACTGCAGTGTGAATGTTATGTCAGGAAAGTAACACAGCAATACTTTTTGGTATTATCAATAATATGCTTTTAAGAAGACTCCAAAATGTTAGTATGGCTGAGGCTTTTAGAATGCCAGTGACACGTATTAATAATTACTATTGCAGCAACAAATGTTGCTAACCAACACGCTTTATGTTTAACAATATATATATATATATATATATATATATATATATATATATATATATATATATATATATATATATATATATATATATATATATATATATATATATATATATATATATATAAATATGTGATTTTTGCAGTAATCTTGAGGTTTTTTCTATAACTTTAATTGTCTCACCTCTTTTAGATAATCATCCTACAGTAAGACAACACATTTCTTGATTTTCTTTGTTTTCTTCTAGCAGGTTAGAGTTAAGGAGAAAAGCAGGGACTGCATGTAGGTCAAACATGCATTCTCTGCTTTTCTCCTCTGGAAGCCTCTGATGGGAACAGTATTCATCTCTGTGTTTGAGTAGCAGCTCTAAATATAGGATAAATGTCTGTCCCTGTTGAGTTTTATTCTTTCCTTTTTTTTGACTGAGTTCTGATGTGCTAATGCTCTGCTTTTACCTTTCTTATTTTGTTTTTAACAAGAGGTTAAGAAAGATGCCTAATTGGCTCCCAGGTGACCCAGCGTAAAGATATGTGAATATTATCTTTGTACACCCACACAAGATTCTATTTTATAAGTACTGCTGATGTTGTGTTTAAAGATTGAGATATACAGTGATGTGAAAAAATTATATTTAACCCCTTTTAGGTTTTTTCCCTTTATTTTTCCCATTTGGGGTTTGTTTTGTAAGACAAAATGCAATTTTCAAATTATGTGAATATTTTTGAGATGTTAGATTTGAATATAAATTTGTTCACCAAAAAATTATCCAAATCAGACTGGCTGTCTATGAAACACTGGTGCATCATGAATCAATCCAGGATAAAAAAAAAATCATCTCTAAGACTTTTGAACTGTGATGGACTACAGTAAAAGCCATAATTATCGAATGAAAAAAAAATCTTTCCTCTACTTAAAAGGAGTGGTTTAATGAAATTTACCTTAAGAACAAATCAACGACTCATGTTGAGTTCAAAGAAGAACCATGAATGAGGTCTAAAACACTGTATGCCTCAATTTCCTCATGTAGTGTAATTCAATTAATAAGAAGTTATTCTGGCAAAATATTTTTTTGGAGTCATATATTGTGGAACATTTAATAATGTGTTCATCTAATTAAGTCAGCCATAAAACCTCACCATGATTTCAGAAAAATAACATACGGAGGTAATGATTGACTAGGTTGCTCTGTATTTCAGGACCTGCACAATGTGCTGTGATTGATGGAACCATGAATACTTTGACACAGTACTTTATACAGACAAACTGATAAAGAGTTCCTCAGCAGAGAATGCTATGCTTGAAGTGCTTCCAACAGCAACATTTATCCATCTGATCTTTTTAAATCAGCTAAAAATGCTTTTCATAGTGTATTAAAGTTTAATCACTAGCTGGTTATTAGGTATTACGTAACTTGAACTGACATTACATGAAGTGACATCATGGAGAAGGGAGTTTTTCTTGATGCAGGGACAGACTGTACATTTCACACATTTCACCTCAATACTCATAGAATATACATTATATACACAATATATATACACATTATATAAACTTTACACAGATTGTAAACATGAAAGGAGTCGATGTTTCATAAACTCTTGTTCTTCATTTCAGATGCACTTTGATGGAATTTTCCCAAAGGAAATCACGGGCATAACATCAAACAAGGTTTTATGTTAAGGCGTTAAGTCATAAATTGTCAAAAAGCAATAACAGCAGTAGCATAAGATGATAAGAGGATGGAAAAAAAGAGAGGATACACCAACAAGTGCCGAAACAAGAGTGCACATACAGTAAGGACAGAGAAACAAACATTTTCCAATCTATTTCAAATTTTCCAGGATTTTTGTCTTCTCTTCTGGCTGAGCAACAAGTTTATTCCCCTTCTTTTGTTCCAGTACTCTAATGCCTTTGATCTTTCTTTCAACTCCCTGTGACAGATAATCTACTGTCCCCTTTTTCTTCCCTTTAGGTCTATTAGATTGCCTTGTCTATTAGATAGTAAGCTTAAATTTGACATCGGAAATTCCACTGTAATAAAAAAAAGCCTTTAGCTGATCAAAATGCGGCAGCCAGAATTTTGATTCAATTCTGATGAAAATTCTCCTATCCTAGCTTCTTTTCAATGGCTCTCTGGATATAATTAAAATCCTCTTTCTCAAACAGGAAGCCTTAGATGGCCGAGCCCCATCTTTTTCAGAGATCTGTGAGTTCCTTATCTTCCTAACAGAGCACTTTGTTCTGGCTCTTTAGATTTACTTGTGGTTCCTAGGATTTCTAAAAGTAGGACAAAAGGTAGACTGTTTATTTATCAGGCTCCTCTCCCGTGGAACCAACTAAATGTTTTAGTCTGTAAGTCAGACACCCTGTCTACTTTTAAGACTTTAATAAGAGTAGACAGGGTCTTAAAACTTTCTTTTTTGATAAAGCATGTGGATAAAACCAGAGTTTGCTTAATGTCTAGGTGAGTAGAGAGGTAGGTGGGGATGGAGCATTTGGATCCAGAGGGGGAGAATTAAAGCTCGGACACGTTTTGTT